CCGCGGGCTCCGGAAGATGGAGGCCTCCTCCGAGCTCCCGAGGCCGGAGGTGTCCGTCTCGCAGGCCCTGCGCGGCGTTTTCCGCCCCCTCTGCTTCCCCCCCTCCTTGGCCGTACCCAAAATCAAGGGATAATAAGGGGAGTCGCAGCTGTATCACAAATGGGTTAAATTTCAGGGTTTAAAGTCCCGGTAATCCAGAAATAATGCCGGCAGCGTGAGCACATACCTTAAGTACAGGAATTAGATGCAGCACAGCATTTCAAACAGACCGATAACACTCGCGCTGGTATCGCCTGCGCCGGCTTTCACCCCTCGCGCAGCCCCGGCTGCCTCAGTCACGCTGAAGCAAATCTATTATTATGTGAATGAATCCCTTTTTTCTTCTTCTTCTGGACAGCGATGGGGTTTTTAAAGGGAATGCGGTATTATGGCTATCTCAGAATAACAAACTAAGCAATTCTGAAGGTCAGCTCGGCAGCAGAGGGGCTGCAAAGGGCTGAATATCTGCCTTTACATCAATATTCATCAACTTAAATCCACACCTCATTAACCTTTCTATGAGAAGTGCAGTCATGTTCAGATATAAACTGCAATTATTTCAAGCTCGGACATCTCTCTATTTTTCTGCATGGAGGCTGATATGCCTGGATGCAGGAGGAGATGGTGCCGATCCCTGCGTAGCTGCCGGCTGTATAGGGCAGGATAGCTTTAAGTTGCTAAATGCTGAATTCCCGGCTATGTCCTCACTAATTTCAGCCTCCTAAATTGCCAGCAGGCAGCAATAGGAGGTACCTTGAGAAGAGAAGCACTTTTCCTCGCAATCGGTCACCTCGAGCACGTTACATAACAGCGTTTTTAGCCGGCAATGCTGCAGCCGCCCAGGATGCGTTTTTGGGGATTACTCAGCGTTTAAGCTGCGGCCAAGCCCGCGTCTCGCCCGGTGCCTCCCTTACCTCCGCGCGCGGCGCCGCTCATCCTCGCCGCGCTCGCCCAGCCGCACGGAGCCCGCC